GGGGTGAGAGGATTCACCAGAGGCAGAGTGGGGAGCAGAACAGGCAGACTGACTGAAATACACTGCTGAGGGGAGCAGTGGGCGAGTCAGGAGAGATCTGCTGTGCCATGTGGGTCACCTCCCTGGCCAGTGATCGAACTCATGCTGCAGTGTCTGCAGGTAACTTCATAGTGCTGCGTCTTAACTCCTTGCTCCACCAGGGAGGCCACTGTGTATTTAGTTTTAAGCCTTGGGAATATTCTCAAGCAAAAATCATATATCGAGCAAGATGGAATAGAAGGTCCCCTGCCCATCTCTTCCATGACAACATTGTTTGACAGATACCAATGGACAAAAGTGCCTTTATGGGAGTTTTGAGATCTTTGCAAAACACTGGTGGAGCCCAAGACCATGTTTTGAGAAGGCTGACCCATGGCCAGGTGACAGGCTCAGAGACTGTGGTCCTTACCATGGACCTGGAAGCGACGTTGTTCCATTGTCCTGCTACCAACGCTATCCAGACCTGGTAGAAGTCACACCTGCTTTTATCTCTGGTGACAAGCACAGTGACCTCAGTCCTGGCTGTGGGTCTTGAAGCAGATGATGCTCCAGCCCCTCGTCCTCTCAGATATAGTCTGGGAATGATTTTGCCTGCCCTGGGACTTGGAGAAAGATAGCCCCCTTCGGGGGCAAATTCACTGACCTTAGTCTGTCTGCAGATCCTAAAGGAGCCCTGTAATTCAACAACCGTCACTCTAGCTGCAATCAGAGAGTTGTCCTGCCTGTCTAGCAACTGGGAGACATGCCTATCTATGTCCCTGGAGGCAGGTGCACTTGACCTCAGTTTAACTGCAGATTTGAAGGGGTCTGTAATCCAGCTCTGGGTCCACTTAGCAAAGTCCCATAAGCAATTTTAGGTTTACAGAACTATTGACCAGAAAGTATAGAGAGTTCCTAGATATCCCTCTGGAAATATGTGTTAGTACTGATGAATCAATATTGATAACTATTATTAGGGTTCACTGTTTGTTTTGGTACAGTTTTATAGTTTTTGAAAATGTATAGAATGATGTACCCATCATTACATTATTATTCTCCCTGAAACCCTTAGGCTCACCTCTTCAAGTATACTCCTTTTAAAGTAGTCTTAACATCTCCTTAAAATGATCCCCGGTCAATTTCCTATTAATGCACATCCAGTTGCTTCCCTGTTGTTTATTAGTACCCACCAAAAATAAATCTTAATACATGAATATTCATTGTTATTTAAATACTGGTTCATGATTAACCTTTGATAATTTATTGATTTACTCAGCCACCATTTCCAGATGAATAGCATTTTATCATGACTTATAACCAGGTTATTTTCTGTTTGTATGGAGTTAGAATTACTCTTGAAAATTCCTTGGGAAGGTGATGTATCAAAAACCAAAGTTTATCTTCCAGTAAATCCAACACAGGTAGTATTCTTCTCCATTTGGAACATTGATGGTAGGCACAAAATATGTAAATTGCTTATGTTTAGTAGACATATTAAATGCTAGAAAAAAATCTGTGTTGTGAGATGCTGTTGCTCTCAGGGCAGAATAGCTAAACCATCTTAAAGGGTAGCAGCCTTAAGTCTCCATTAAGAATGCATTTCATACACATTCTCAGTCATGAACCTATAGAACAGAATGATGAAAAAAATTTCTCCCCGGACTCCCTGGTGGCACAGGCAGTTGAGAGCAGCTCTGTGAAGCTGTCTGAGCGTGGGTTTGATCCCGGCCAGCCAGGGAGATATCCACATGGCGCGGCAGAGACGTCCCCTGTCTCTCCACTGCTCCCCTGAGCAGTGTGCATTGGTCAGTCTGCCTGTTCTGTTCACGGCTCTGTCTCTGGTGAATCCTCTCACCCTCCCACACATCTGGCCTGTGCCCGGGTTCTTGTATGCATGAATAAATAAAGCTTAAAAAAAAATTTCTCCCCTACTTCTTTCCCCTCTCTCTTTTGGCTACTTTTATATAAGTCAAAAGCAACTCCATCATATGACACTTGGTTCTACAAGCTAAGCATGCAGTAAACACTTAATACATAATTGTTAAATGAATAAAAGTAAACAGAAACTTCTAGTCTAGTGAGGTCTTGATTGCCACAAAATTACCTAAACCAAAAAATTGGCATACAGGTCGCATGGACCCAATACACATAATGGATGGTAATCATACTAATAAAATGTATAGTCCTTAGTCTATCATTTTAAAACATATACATGGGCCTACCCTCTTAAACACTCAATGTCAACCTCTTTGAAAAGGAAATGAGATTTGAAGGTCAGAGCATAAAAGAAATAATTAAGAAAAATAAATATGGGTGGAAGTTGATAGGTGACCTTTAATATGAATAAATTGGATTGTAGTGTATTTTGATTTTCAGGAAGTTCAAACCAGTTTCCCAAGATTTGTCAATGTGTTTAAGCCATACTTCTCAGATTTCAAATGAATAGAGAGATTGATCCTTATGTAAGAAAAGAAGCCAAGTGACTTTTTTTATTTCCTGTAGTAATTTTAAAAACCAGATCTTTTTCCTTTAGGAGGGCCACAAACTGACTTTGAAGTATAAAGTTGACAGTTGCAAATCATTGTGTTTCCTTGTTAACGGATACTCAACTCTAACTTTCTGCTTTTACTGAATGACAGTAAGTTAACATACAGTTTGTTCAGCAGACTCGCTTGGTTGTCCTGTCACAAAGTCAGGAAACTTGGTGATAGATCTAGAAAATAAACTTCTTGTAGATACTGAAAAATAACCAATTTCTAATACAGCATAGTAAAGTGCGAGCCAAATTACCAGTTGACAGGCCACACTTGGTTCCCCAGTTTGTTCTAGAACAGTTGATCTATGAACATTGAGTGAATGTGTTGGGGAAAAAAATTCATATTTGGATCAAACTCCAGTTTGGAGTTTATCCTTTCAATATGATTCACACTGGGATGAACCCAGGGAAGCCAACACAAAAATGCAAACATAAAGTATTTTTGAAACCAATTGGTTCATTATTTTCCCTTGGGACTAGGGTGGGGGTGAAGAGGACCTGTTTACTATCAGAAATGAGATTGTTCACACTGGCTCCTGGACACTGCCCTGGTGTCTGTGTGGGAATCTGATAACAGAACAGAGTGGTTTTGGTCTTGGCCTTTGAAACCACACTAGGTTTGTCTCCTGACTCTTCCACATCATAGCTGTGAGGCATTGAGCAAATGACTTAGCCTCTCTAAACTTTATACCTTTATCATAAGGTGTGAATAATGATAATACCTACTGCATGAAAAGAGTTGTGATGAGACTTGAAGTAAATAATGCCCCAAGAGTGTGTTGCATGAGGCCTAGATATTGGCAATCTCTCAGAAAAGAGTAACTAATGGTAAAGATAAGAAGAAATAGAGATTAGGAGAAGAGTTATGAATGTGTTGTTTGATGAACACCTGTCTGATCAGGATTTTGAGTAGCTTTTTCTTGTAGTTAACCTAGGCTCTAGTAGACCTTCAAGAGTCATGTCTGTTTCCTCAAATACTAATCCCTTAAATACCTGGGACAGTTAGAGAATATTCTCTCTCATACAGTAAAGGACCAGCTATGACTGGGTAGTATGACCTGTTCTCCCTTTGGTTTAGTTTCATAAAGACCGCACCCTTCTCTTTTGACAACTAGAATTTTGCCATTTTATAATTAGATAATAGCTGACCTTACACAAGATATGTTTTAATTCATATAATGCGATTGGAAGAATACCATGGGTTTCACTAGAAACATGTTTTCAAGCCATTTTCTATGCAAATGATTCCACAGCACAGATGGTCAAGTTGGTCCATTTTATTTCAGAGAGTGATAAGGAAATAACAGAAGAGGAACAGAAAAGGCTACACAAACCTATTTTTTGCAGTGATACCTATTGTAAAAAAAAAATTGGTGATACCATGTGAATGGTTTTATGATAACCAGTATTCTAACTTGGTGACTATTTTATAGCCACTAAAGATAATTATAAGAATGCTATAGAAACATGGAGAAAGTGTTTAATGAAATTTGAAGAATGCTGTGTAAAACTGGAATGTGGAATATGCACAACTATAATCATAATTATGTAACAAAATAAATAAATACAAGAAATTTACAATGAAAATGCCTGTAAAATTATGAGAAGAGTAAGGAAAATGAGATTATGGCAGTTTAACACTATTGATCAAATGTGACAACAGCTGAATAACTTTATTCTATGAAGAGCACACACAAATAAAAATGAGAGATCATTTTGCCCTAATAGAGAAAATGACAAAAATCTTGAAAAGTCAATTAATGTAAAAGAAAATGCATTTAAGAGACTGATGAAAAATAGGAAAACATTACTTCATAAGTACTTAAAGAAATGCAACTTAAAAGGTGTCTTTAAAATGTATATATGCACAAAATTCATAATGTTGATGAAATTGCAATAAAACAGGATATTTTATACATTGCTGGTGACAATATGTACTGTATTACTACAACTTTGGAAAGCAATTGCAATTTGGCAATGTATATCAAAGCCTCAGAGCTATTTATATTCACTGACTCAATGATTATGCTTTTGGAAATATGTCCTAAGAAATACTACAGAATCAGATCTTTAATATTCACCAAGAACCCTACATATTATATTAAGAAATTGAAACAAGGTAAATATCTAAAATAGTAGTTTGAACACTGTTGTTTTAGTTAGTTAATTGTGTGTGTCTTTTAGAAACTCTAAAATATCCTAAGACTTAGTCCTAAGACTTAGTTAGGGTTAGCTCTAGCTCAAGTTCGTAGCCTGTGGGTATTGACAGCAACATTTTGAGAGTCCCACATGCTATTGTTTCAATATTTAATATTGTTACTTCAATGTTCTTAGTTTTCCATGATTCTATATTGTTAATTTAAACTTTTCAGATTTCATTTGGTGGCTAACTTGAATAATATTTTAGGAAACAGTGACTGACATTACATTTTACTCTTCTGTTTAGTGATGAAAATGCCAGGAAAGATTTAAAGACACTACCAGTCTTTCCAACTAAAACCCTGCAGGAGCATCCATCCCTTGCTTATTGGTAAGTAAAACTAAGAAGACAGATGACCTCGTTGTCAATAGCCTCCATTGACAACTGCATGCTTTGCATGAAATGTAAGTGAGGAAAATATCAAATTTCCCCCAATGTATCAGAGTAACCATAAGTAGACCTCAATCCGTGAAAGTGTCTTATGAAACTCACTGGAGGTATGTGCCATTTATTTGAGTGCATCAAATCTGTAGTGCGCTTTTCCGTGCACATTGTGCTTAGGATATATGTGCAGTCACTGTGTAAAATGGCCTCAATGTTGCAGAGTGCAATTATTTCCTTGGACAGAAGTTTTCTTATGACCAGAAAGGTTTCATTTCTGGTCAAAAGTTCTATATCTTGAGTTGTTTTATTTGTTTATGTTGTAATGAATCCACAGTAATCATTTTCTTTACTGCATTTTCTTCCAGAAAAGTATGAATTACTTATATTCCTTTTAAATATATTTTCCCTGGTTTAAGTTGCTAAATCTGATGCTTTTCCTTTTCACTGAAAAACTAATTATAAATTATTCACTATTGAATGGCTTTAATATGAAAGTTGGAATATTTTCCCCAAATTGAGGCTGCATTGTGCCATGACTGGAACTTTCTAAAGGAAGTATTGTTACATCATAGTCGCTTTAATTTCTTTGATTACCGTTGATTATTGGTTGTATAGCGATAAAAAATGTTTGCTCTTATTTATTTGACTTGAGATATGACTGAAAGAGCTACCTGTCTGAAAGTAGTCTATAACACTTGAAAGATGTCAAAGGTTGCCAGACTTCAGCCTAGTTCTCTCTTTTTAGTTACCAACTTTTATCCTAAAACAATAATGAAGGGCATGTCCCCACATAGTGACAATGTATTTTAGATGGAATACAGACTTAGAAATAGTTTTGATTCTTTTGAAATCTTTCTGAAAAATTTTAAGGGGGAATTCCTTAACACAACTCCTGCTGGTCTCTCTTTTTTAACCCTTTTCATGCTTCAACAATGTTTCCTAACTAGCACTTAATGACATTACCTGGTATTTATTATGTTCCAATCAGTTATGGCAAAGGGTATTAGTCTTCCATTTGATAAATTTATAGTTTCCTTTTCTAATGAATTAAAAATGTTAATATATTTGTATGTATTATATAATAACTTATGTAAATATAAAATAAAAATGACAGAGGTAGTCAAAACATTCATACTTTTAATTTCTTTGTTTTACAGCGAGGACAGGGTAATTGAGCATTATTTGAAACTCAAAGGTCTGACTCGAGGTCAAGCAGTAGTTCAGTAAGTATCTTTTCTTTTGCTACATCTAATTTTAATATCTGCTAATTGAAGGAGTCATCTTAAAATAATTTCAGTTGTGTAGTTTTTGTGTGCACATCCTTCATCTGGTTAGAAATATCTTGCCATGAATTAGAAAATGTCTTAGATCATTCATACATTGGTGTCATAAATTCATATATCTACCATTGTCTAGTAGGTAACAAAAATATGAAATGTTGGTCAGGTGTAGGGTAATGGGGAATGATGAACTGGAGAGCTTTTCCGCTGGGGAGAGGCAAGTCTATTCAGCTTTAGAATTCAGGTATAGTGTGTTGACAGATCTTCTGATATCTTCTAGTAGAAGCTGAAAATTCTGATTTTTAAATCCCAATTTTTAAATTTCCAAACAATTTTAATATAATGTGAGTCAAACAAAAACTTACTGAAGACCTTGGTTGGTTGCCTGACTTTTTACTCTACTTTAGATGGAGCTCATAGTGTTGATGTTGAATAATCTGTTTCTTCATGCTGCCTAGGGCAGACCATAGTGATGCATTTCTGCATTTTAAACTTAGAGTTAACCATCCATTTATTAAGAACAGCTCACAAGCTATATTAAAACTTAAAATTGTAAAAACTCAATTGAAAATTATATAACTGTAAAATTGTAAAAACTCATATAGCATTATTGCTATAGTAATCATAGAATAACTTTTGTGGCCATAGAAATTTTGAAAAATTGCTGAATATAGCATAGACATGTGAAAACTAAAATAAGGACTTAGAGACCACTAATCCTCTGGTTTCCCCCATACCCCTCACTAATCTCCTTTTTTATCAGAACACACTTTCTGTGATCTTCAAGGCAGAAATCAGAAGTTAGCAGTCCTGAAGTTGAATCCTTGATGTTCTAATTGTGAGCTAGGAAACAAAAGAAAAATAAAACAAAATAATAAAGGAGTTTAGGTTAAGATAGTGAGCATATTACAAAGTACCATTGCCTAACAGAATCCTTACTTGCCTTAATCATTATTGTAGCTTCAAATAAGAGACTGTTGAACTGAGTAGTCAAGGCTGTAGACTAGAATTCAACTAGCTGTGTGGTTAAATTGCTGCATCACACAATTTGATCACCATTACCTAACTCTCATGTTCATATATCTATAGGCCACTTACTTTTTCAAAAGATCAATTACAAAGGCTAGAGCAATTGATCTTTAATATGTCTTTAAAAAGTTAATTTGTATTGCCTAGGAACCTCAATTCTTTATGGACACAAGGGCAGCTTTATACAAATTAGTCTACTTCAAAAATGTTAAGAGGTACACTAAATGTTTATTGAATTAAAAACAGCAAATGGTAACCATTGCTTTAATTTTTTTAGAGGGCTATATTTTTAAAAATCATGTTTATATACAATAAAATTTACTCTTTCAAAGCATATATTTCTAAGAGTTTTGAATTGAGTTAAATACATATATTTCTAAGTGTTTACCACAATCAACATGGAATAGCTTTATTTTTTACTTATTATGAACATAACCTGGAAGTTGATTCTCATTGCTTACATCAGTATGTGTTTACTTTTTTAAATGCTTGCAATTTAGAATTATAGCCTAGTTTGTTCTAAGCCATAGAAATCTTAATATGCAGAAAACAATGTTTACTCTAACTTTTTGAAATTAAAGGTTTTTTTTTGAAATTGAAGGGTTTTTCCTAACATTAGGGTAATGTAAAACAAAACATATTACTCCCTAGAATGGTTTATTCTATTTCAACTTTAATCAGTGACATTAAGTATGGTTATAATGAGGAAAGCAGATACAAACTGTGCTTCTTTTAATCAGTTTCCCAATAAGATCCTCTGATTATTTTAATAAGCAGTTATACTATATATTCATTTTCCATAGGTACATGAAAATAGTAGAAGCTCTACCGACTTACGGAGTTCACTATTATGCAGTAAAGGTAAAATAATTTTACATGACAGAGCTTTCATAATGCCCATTTTATTTATGAGATTTATTTTATGAGAATACTGAACAATACCAAGGTCCTAAAATCAGATTCAGTCAATATACATATATATGTAAAACATCTCTGGAACTTTCAGCATTTAGAATTGTATTGATTGCCTCAAAAAATAGTATCTTTTCATTTTTAGCAAGTTATAAAGCACATTATTTTTAATAAATATTTGCTACATTCATATGCTTTCCCAAAGCCTCTATTAGTCCTCAGATATTCAGATGGTTCTCTTTTGGTACACCTATTCCTTTAGCTCTTTTTGCTCATTGTTCTCTTTTCTAATGTTCACTTTGCTTATGCTACCAAATCTTCATTAATAATGCCTTTGCATGAATCATGCAGCCTCCAATGTCGCTTTCAACACTTTTGGTAATCCTCAAATTTTTGCAGGATTTGCAGTACCACTTTTCAGTCAGTATGTTTTAGATTTTTGTAGTACTTTTAGATGTTTATAAAGCATGAGAGATTGGCTAAGAAATATTTTGATATGCTGAGAAGAAATAAAGCATGTGTGAAGAAGGGAGTGTTATCTGAAAGAGGAAATATTTCAAAATTGATTGATCTTGAGTGACTTTTCAAGTTATGACAATATTTTCAACCCAAAATGGTGAGGAATTGGATAATAAATACTTGTATAAGAGAATATTCTAAACTAAAAACTCATGCCAATTCAACTTGAATTTCTATTGATTCTAAATTTGTTTGCATATGGGTGTATGTATAAGCCTAAATTTTTCCTAAGTCAATACATCATTTGCTTTGGCAAAACCTAAAAGACAAATTTATGAAAAAAAATCCTTTCCTCCCTATGTAAGTCTCAAAGTGGTTGCTTAAATATCTTATCATTGAACCATACAGTTCTATAAAAGGGTTTTTCAGTTTTTCCCATGTTCGTTGATAAGTGTATTATAAACATCAAGATTAGAACCACTGTTCTCATCTTTGTAATTCTTTGGAAACTTCCCTGACCTTTATAACTGGTTACTAATTGAGAGAACAAAGAACTTTTTTTTTCTATTTTTTTTAATTGGTAACTGGCTTTAGACTGGATTAATTCTTAGTTGAAGTGCTTACATTTTCTTTCTTCTTGCCAAGTGTTTAATCAAAACAGTAATACTTCATTCTTTTGATGCTATTAATAATATTGGTCTATTTTGACTTATATGTCTTAGTTGAAGACACACTAGGAAGGCATTTTAATAACAAGTTAGTTTTTTGACTAGTGTTTTATTTACCAAGACACTTTATTTTGACTTGCAAATATTTGTTAAGGGATGAAATTGGTAAATATTTCTTCACCTCTGGAAGACTTAACATTTAGGTCTTGGTTCTCATGCCTTTCTATCTTCTAGGATAAACAAGGACTTCCTTGGTGGCTTGGAATCAGCTATAAAGGAATTGGCCAGTACGATTTACAAGATAAAGTGAAACCTCGGAAAGTAAGTAGAAATCATTTCAGATTTATGAGAACCCTGAGCTGTTCAGGAGTTGGCAACACCACTTTAAGGGACACTACACCAGACATTCTTAGGCAAAGAATTTTGGCTAGTGAATCCATGAGTTCAGAAAAGACTCAGGTCAAGTGAAAAATACTTACATACATAATTTATGTACCAATTTGCAAGTAATTCCACATCTGACATGTCTGATTATTCTAAGGAAATAAAGTTATGTGCAAAATTTTAACTATAAGGATGTTAATCACAACATAGTTTACAAATGCATACCATTAGGTTTTTATTTTAATTTAGTATGAACATGATGATGCCATTTATTTATAAATATTTTATATATTGTAAATATTGTATATATTTATCGGATAAATATATACATACATATTTCCACTGGATGAGTAAGTAGATGAGCAAATTATAAAGATATAAGCCAAAATTTTTGACTCTGGTTATCTCTCAGTGGTACAGTTAAGAGTAATCTTCTTTCTGTTACTGCTACTATTTTTACTAATCTTTGTTTCATAATTTTCTGCACTAACATGTCTGTTTTTGTAAAGAAAACTAAGTTTTGTGCTATTTATTCAAGGGTTACACTCTATTTGTGCTTGGACTCTCCAGAGTTGACATGTTACATAATTTAAAAGCTGAAATTTGGTTAGGAGGCTGTTTCTGACCCAAGCACAAGGGCACAATACTTTGTTACCTTTGTAAGAACTGATGAGTCCATACAGATAACCATCCAGCTCCCCAACCTACTCAGTGTTATCGTCACCATAAAGGCTGACTCACGCTGCCCCAGTTGGTTTTGCCACCTTCCTCCCTGTGTGCTACTGCCTGATTATCAGTGGGAGTCACAACACTGGAACACTGGCCTGTAATAACAGACCACGGTCAGGCTGCCTGCCTTATCACACCCCGACATCGACATCGCAGCCTTAAATAATTCCTATCACTTCCATCTGTCTCTTGCGCTAATACATATTAGAAAACCAACCATATTCTTCATAAAGCAGCCAGATAATCATACCACAGTGCTCTCCATCTTGTAAATGTTCTTCCAGCTTCAAACAATGCTCACAAAACTCCTTTGAGTTAAGAAAATAAGTGAAGCTTCCCATTCATTCTGATTTATTATCACGAAGCTGACACAGACAATACAAAAGGGTGGCCCAGAGCAAACCATAGGTCCTTCTACTGCCAGTCCAGCTGTCTTGGATCACACTAGCTGGACATTGAGGTTTCTCTTTAGACAGTATCAATTAAAAATAACGAAGCAACATTTAACATTAACATCATTCTCTCGGAGAAGGATAACATAACTACATAATTACCATTTTGTCTCCTTAAGTTCCCTGTGACCAAGTGAATTGAAATAGAATTATTTGAAATAGAAATACTTAATTTCCAGGAGAAATATGAGTAAAATGGTTTGCACTTGAATATTTGCTTATAAGGGCAGATTTCTAATAATGTTAGAAATAATGGACATATGGTTTTTTCAGTTGTCAAAATCGTTTTTAGTTGTAATGATTTATTGTAAATTTTTACCAAAAGTAGCAAGTACTCATTGTAAAAACAAATCAAAAAGCAAAAGTTACAGAAATGTCAATTAGAGCAGAAGTCCTTTTGCAGCTACCTTTCCTCCCTTCTGATAACCACTGTCAAGAGTATGATACTGGGCCTTCCTGGTGGCCTAAGGGTTAAGTCTCAGCATTTGATCCTAACCAGGGAGCTAACCCACATGTGGCCCAGCAGACCTCTCCTGTCTTGCATGCTTCTCCCCTTAGCAGTGCATTTCAGTAAATCCACCTACTCTGCTCCCCATTCTGGCTGTGGTGAATCCTGTCACCTCACATACCTCTGGCTTACACCCCAGTTCTTCTACACACAAGTAAATAAAATCTTTTTTTAGAAAAAGAGTGTGATACTGATTCATTTAGACTTTGTCAGTACTAAATCTCACTATCACACTGTCCCATACTGTGTCATAGAAAACTATGATCTATTTTATTTTCTTAAGACAGAACACACATATGTTAACATCCTTTTAGTAATTTGTTTCTCTCCTGCAATTTACTTTAAGAAATCACATTCAGGGGCAGGATGTTTTTTCTGAGTCTTACATAGAAAAAAAAAAAAACTGTGACTCACATAAGTAATTTCTGAGTTAAGGTGGCTAGATAAAATTGAAATTCTGATAGAATGTAAATACATCTACTTAAAACAAGTAGATGGCTTTCTCCCAAAGTACTGGTGAATTAAAATCTGCATAGTATATATTGCTAATTTCCTCTCAGTTGTTCATGAGGCACAAGTCTTTCTTTACATTCACAGTTTCCTAAAAAGTGGCAAATATTGTTTAACACTGATTATAATCAGGTTTGCTTATTCACTCCAGCTTCTAGACAAAGCTCAAAAGTCACTTTCTTTTTTTCATTTACAGAGTTTTTCTATTTCATTTTCAAGACATGCCATTTAATTAAAAAAGAGCCATAAACAGACCATCTTGTATTTTCACTGTCAGCCTGGTCCTTCTTGGTTATTTTTGCAGGTGGCCACTCTGTACCACTGTTTGCCTACCCTTTCTTCTTCTGTTAAATCTAGCAATGGATTTTGCTTCTGTATCTTTATTTTTCCATATCCAAACAACTTGAGGGTTTAATTGGAGGGAGGATGTTCTATAATTCCCTGTCCTGACCCAGTTGGCATAAATGAAAGACTGCATAGTTCAAAAGACCATGAATATTAACTTAGAAAGGAGGATCATGCTTCTGCTGTTTACATAAATCTGTGCAGGCAGCAAGTTACTGGCAACCTGGCAGGAAAGGTCAAATTGGCAAACTCCAGTGAAATAAAATCTGGAATGAAAGGCCATATAGATGTTCATCCTTTTGAACCACATGCCTTCTGTGTTATAATTATGTGGCTTTAAAACAGACCAGAAGGAGGAAGATTTGCCAATGATAAGAGACTGATGCCAAAAGGCTGTTTTGATAAGGGATTGGTCCAAGATCCACCAACTGAGGTGTCTCCTTGCCGCATAATGTCTATTGGTCATAACCTGTGATTGTGGGGAATGTTAAATGCAGTGCTCCTAGGATGCCCAGCTAATACTCTTCATGTGTTTTGGCTATAAAACATTTACTGTCATGAGGGCCAGGTAGTTTTCAATTACGTGGTATAATAATGCAGAGCAAGTGTTTCGAAAGTAGCCCAAACACTGATGTTTGTTTGCTGTATGCTCTTGGGTATACTGTTTATTCTCTCTCTAAACTGTTTCCTCATCCTCACAATGGCAATGCCACAGCTGCATAAGGCATTTGTATGAGTTAATTGAGATTGCATTTAACATTGTGTCTGATACATTATCATCACTGGTATTTGTTCATTGGTAGTGAGGGGGAGGGATGACAAAGAAGGATGTGAGAAATATTCTTGGATCACTGCTGAGTTAGAAGATGACCCAAAATTGCTACAAACCCATAACCTTAATGTTCCATCTAAGAATCCACACTCGAATTTTCTGTTTTCAAAGACTAGCAAGCTCTCTGCCTTTCCAAATTCATTAGCAATAATGGTCTAAATCATGATGAAAATTAAGAGAAGAATTTTAAATTCTGAGTTACAATGCACAAAAGTTGAAAGTATTAAAAATTCATATCAAAGGCAGGTTTTAATTCCTTCTTTTGTGAATGAAATGAGTCATTGCAAACTCTTATGGAATGTGAAAACATACCAGAAAACAACTTCATTTCAAATCAGGCCATTTAACTTAAAAACTTTGAAGTTTTGCTTTTAAAAGAACTTGCAAACTTGTGTTTCCTCAAAGTTTTTTAGTTGATTTGGCATTTTGAGGGAAAATTACTGTTTTTCACAAAGAAGTAGCTAATGGGTCAGAGACTGAGGCAAGTATGGTAAATCATGACTGATTTGTACCCCCTGGCAAGATATTTCCCCTGGGAAAACCAGAACCTGTCCAGATGATAGAAATAAAATGGCATGCTACTTGGTATGATAGGCAGGTCGTAATGGATAAAGTTCCTTTCAAGATTGGTATCTTCCTATATTATGTAACAGGCTAAGAAAGTCTTATGATGCTCACCGTCACCCCAGGGCTTCCTACAGTAGGTCTTAGCCTTTGGTTAACTGAACTTTTTTTTAACTATTGCCATTCCAAATGCCTAGAGCCAGATGAATTAAGTCACTAGCACAAGAGTCTTCCTGTTCCTTTGTCATAAAAGTGTAGGGTTTATTTATTTTTTAAGATTTATTTATTTATGCGTATAAGAACTAGGGTGCAGGCCAGAGGTACAGAGGGTGAGAAGACAGAGTGGGGAGCAGAACAGGCAGATCTACTGAAATACATTGCTGAGGGCAGCAGTGGGTGAGACAGGAGAGGCTGCTGTGCCATGTGGGTTAGCTCCCTTGCCAGGGATTGAACTCATGTGACAGTGGCTCGCAACAGCTTGATAGCACTGTGTCTTTAACCCCTGAGCCACCAGGGAGGCCCGGGTTCATTTAATTTAAACACAGTGACTTATTTTCAAAATACATCTTCTCAATCATTTCAGACTCTGCTTGCTTTTTCCACAACTGCCACAGCATCATGGACCTCAATTAAGATGTTACTTTTCTCTAACACTAACTGCTTAAATGCTAGATGAGGTTAATTGTAGGTGCAGAGATCATGTGCTGTCCAGTCCTACATTCTACGTCAATACAAAATACAAAATGTGGTATGGAAGAAAAATTGAATTACAAAATGTCAACCTCTCCGGAGACTGGCCCATCCTGTTTGTAAAGTGTGTAATTAAGCTTCAACCACACCAATAATCAATCTGATTGTTAAACCTTTCCATCGAGTCAGTGGGAAGAGAGCTCAAATTCTTTACCATGGATTTGAAATAAAACCAACTCTGTGCTCCTGCTTACCTCCTGGCCTAGGGCTGTCACTCAGGTTTCCTGGGTTTTTATTTTCTCAGCTA